GTTCCTTTGTGTGCTGTGTTTTGCTTGTGCTTTGCTTATGCAAATGAATAGTTTTTTGATCTGTGAATAGTTTTTTTTATCCCGGAAATAATTTTTTGGATCCCTTAAATAGTTTTTTTTTGACCCCTCTCCCCCATGCAAAGATGTCGCGCAGCCGCCCTTTTTTCCTTCTCGAATGCCTGCTCACTTCCCTCCTCTTCGAGACCGTCTCCAAGTATAAAATGCCAGCTTGGGCCTACGATGATCCATGTAGATAATTGGTCCGTCTTCATTCCCATATTCCTATTACAGATTTCATGGCCTGCCATGCGTTCCCAATTGGCAGTGCAGCGCCTGCCGACTTCGACGAGCCGCCTGGCGAATTGCGATTTGCACGGCGGAGGCAACATCAATTCATTTAGAGCCGGCTTTGGCGAGATGCTTCCAACGACCCGTGAGCAAAGCGTGATGCATGTTACCCGGCTGGCGAAAGAAATGTGTGGCCCCGCCCCGTCGTAAGGAATAAGGCTGAAATTTACAGCGTAGGAGACGGAAGTGACACACGATGTGAAACCATTGCTGCTGCGACGAGTGATGTTCGAATGCCAGAGCTATTCCCAAATCAGCAGCGCAGCTGCATGGGCAAATTTCATCTCAGTATCGTGAAGAGAACCGTAAACCTCGTGTGTCGGACCTCAGGAGATAGGAGGCCCTTCACCCGGCTCTTCAGAACCCTCGTAAATATCACAATGCCTCAGCGAGTTTTTTCAAAGGCGAACAGCCGGTGCCATGCCGTGGGCAACTTGAAGAAATAAAACGCTGACTGATTCGCAAGACTTCAGTCAATGTCGGAACATAGGACCCTTGCTTTCGGCATCGGGCCCCTGAGAATATCAGCATTCCTCAAGATCGCGAATGGGTTCTCAAGGCATCCCCGGACCTCACCCTCACAGACGAGGGCCAATTGCAACAAAGCCCGGTGTTGAGAAGAGGACAACGGTTCAGAGGAAAGTCAAGACTTGCCCCAGGCCATATTCAGTGACAGATCTCTAGACTACTAACTTGCGTTGAGCAATGCGCGGCGCACGACCTCCTTTTCTAGGCGCAGGTGGCTCTGACAAACTCAAGACTGCTTTCATGGCGGAGGCCAGTGCACCATCGACAGGAAAGTATTTCCCGCCCACTTCTGCCGGAAGGCGCAGTGGTGCCACAAAAAGTTGAAGGTTTTCCGGAAAGGCCACAGAATCTTTCAAATACCACCTTGCATGCAAAATGCCTCGTTGGGCTGCTGATCTACCAGTCACGGCCTGAGAGCGCAGCCAGACTCTCAGGCGTTCTTGTGTACATTTTGTCTTCATCCATGCTTGTCACCCTTCCCAGGGTGCAAGCCTGGTTCTCCCCGTCCTTTTCGGGGGAACCCTTGTCCTCCCTGATGATCTGATGACCTCGTCCTCTTCCTCCCGCAAGGCAGCGCTCGCCTTGCTCTTCCTGCGGGCGGACTGATATAACTCCCATCCCTGACGAAGGAACTTCTGGCGCCGCTTCCAGTTTTGCGGGGGAGCTGAAGCTGCTGGTCGTGGTGACAACACGGGGTGAATTCTTCAATGTTGGCTTCATTCGCAGTGACGGAGAGGAGCCTCCCCCCAATCCTGGAGAGGTCGGGCCGCCTGCTCCCTAGGTTGAATTGTGCTGAGTCCTCAGCAACGTCTCTTTCAACTTTACCGCCTTCAAGGCGGCCGCCGCACGCAGGACGCGGGCCACGGGACGGGAGGGGCCGCGGGCCGCGGGCCGCACGAGAATTAGCAGATTATGATGCCCTGGTTCAGCCCCGAAACCAATCCCCCACTGAGACGGACCAAGAATTGGACAGAGACAGCGCAAAGCAGTTGCTACCTGAGGCAGGGCCTCTACACCTCGGGGCTTGACCGCCCCTGAGCCAAAATGGCTTGATTTACAGTAATTTGAACTTGTCCATTTCCCGCTATGCATGAACATGTGCAGAGCTTTATGGCTTTATGAGGACAAAAGAAATTGGTTATCGTGACTTCGTGCACCCTTGCTCACACCCGAGCAACTGCTCTATACGTGATGTAAAACGTAAGATGCTCGACATGCTCTAGTTCTGACCGACTGTAATCAATATAGTGGAGAGATCCATATTCTGTTCTAGGCAGTGATACTGAAAGATGGCAAGAATATTCGATGGACATCTGGTTGCCCAGCATGCCAAAATGCCTTTGGACAGAAATGTGCACAACATCCTGAAGGGTTTTTCGTCGATCTGGGAATGTGAAAGTGTCTAAAACTTTGTTCCAAGCAAGGTTTGCAGTGATTCTGACACGGGGTAGTGCCGAAACCCTTGGTAAAGCCAAGGTGGCTGGAAGCCCTCTGCTTTGCCAAGGTTTTGGTTTGGTAGGTTTAGGAATGGGCAAGTGTCGAAAACCTTGATAAATCAAGGTTGGCTAGACCCGAAAACAACAATAACTGGCAAGACAAACCAACAAAGTTTCAAACCATGCCCAGGCGCACTCCTCGACGTTCGTTTGCACTTAGCCGGTTTCGTTGGTTTTCCCACAGTTTCGTTGTCTGTGCGCTGAAAACATTGGTTTTGCCAAGCTTTTGGTTCTTTGACTTTTCGTTGGGAATAGGATAGTGCAGAAATCCTGGACAAAACAAACGAAACCAAAGAAGTTCAAACAAACGTCCAGGAGTGCAAATGTGCATGGCTTGAAAACTCGCTGGTTTCGTTGGCTTGTTGAGTTTACCAGGTTTTCGCTGGCTGTGTGCAGAAAATCTTGGTTTAATCAATCAAGATTTTCGGTTGGTTTGGGAATAGTGCCGAAAGCCGTGGTAAAACCAAGGTTGTCTGCACACAGCCGACGCAACCATCGACAAAACGGAGAAACCAGCAACATCGAAGGAGTTCAAAAGCATGTCCAGGAGGGCATGGTTTCCAACTCTGAGATTTGCCAACGTTTTCGTGGGCTTTGTGTGGAAAATCGTAGAATCCCAGAACCGTAACGAGGCTTTTGGGTCTTGGGGAAACGTGCCTACAACCTTGGAAAAACTAGGGTCTGCGGCTAGGTTTGGTATGGGGAGATGTCGACAACCGTGACGGTACGATACTGGCTCAACCCTAAACCCTAAAGCCTGGAGTCCCGGAGCCCTAAATTCCACAGCAATGCACCCCTCAACCCTGTACTCCCAACCCTAAATTCTCCAACACCGAATTTGACGGGTTGGTTCAATGGTTCTTGCAGGTTAGAGCGCATAAACTTACGCATGTACCGAACCCTGATGAGCTATCGATCGACGAGCTGCAAACAATACAGTATCGACTAACCACTGCTGACATGGTGCACTACTCACCAAACAGCAGCCGGCGCCCAGTTCCACAGCTTGGCATCCATGCCATGTCGCGTGAGGGCTTACCTGTCAAAGTTACAATGGCCTCACATCTGTTCTGCATTGGCCGTCTGCTGCCTCAATCGCCCACGTTGCGAGGTCCTGCATGCGCTTCGCTGCAGTGCTTGCTCATACAGTACGAGGCTGAATTGCTGATCCTTGGCAGCTCTGGTGACGACTCCCCCGATTGCATTCTGCATAAAATCCTGCCACCGGCTCAACGGCACGGTGCAAAAGGTTGCCCTTCTCCTGCTGCCACCACACGCACAGGTGAAACACAGATTTCCTCATACGTCCGGACGCGAATCGTGCCGCGGCCCAAGACGTGCTCCTTCTCACCGGCCTGGTGCAGTGCAGGCGCATGGTGTCAGACCCTGGGTGCAGCGATTGTGAAACATGTGCGTCAGGACACGAACTCAGCAAAGTCGGGGTCCTGTTGGCAAGGAGTGTTATTTCAACACCACAATCAAAGATTCGGAACATATTTGTGGTAAGCGCTCCTCTGCAACGTTCATGCAAACAGCAAGAACAATATGCGGCAGGTCCACTCCACGTGCGAGAGAAGCTGCTGTTATTTCCTCGAAAGCATTCAGCAAAGCATGCCTAGCTAGCATTATGGCAACAGCACCATCTGAGGTGCAGGCCACTAATCGCTGCTCTTGGAAGGCATGGCACTCTCACATTTGTGCTCCACAGGTGTTGAGCTACGACGTTTTTGTTTGCTAACTAGTGAGTGAATTTCATTTGAGGCAATTCACAATCCGCGTCTTTGATGCAAACAAAAAGGCTTGGCAGACGTGGGGCACCTCCACCACACTGTGTTTCAAACTGGGCCACGGTATGTAAGTGCACCACTTGCATCCAGCATAGTTCATGAAGCGGATCTTCCCAAACACCTGAGCACTGGTCCACTCAGCAGAAAGACACTGACAAAAAACACTGCTCTGCCTCCCGCTCCTTCCAACCCATGTCGTGCACCTCCAGGCAATGGCCACTTCGTCAAATCTTTGTCGCCATAACTCACGACCAGGTGCCAAGCGCCACAAACACTCCACATGCAGCCCACGTAGCCATTTGGGTCGCGGCCTCTGTAGCAGCGCACTTCAGCCCTCAACTGACTGCTTTCAATCTGAGCTCTCTGCCATCAAGTTCGTAGCGATCATTGAGCCAAATGCAACGTTCAAGAGCCTCCTTGGGAGATGGCCTTGTGCTCGTGCAACTGCAATGTCATGATGCTTCCCGCAACTAAAGCCTAGGCACGCGGCGACCATTCAAGAATCTTCTTGGCCTGAGACATCTCCATTGCTTCGAAGCTCAGGTCGCCATTCGACAAGTTGGGTGACATACCCAGTACATTCGCAAGAAGCCGTGCATCTTGCCCTGGGCAGGGTCAACTAGAAACAAGTTGACGGTGTGACTGCCGCAAGCATCGAGCTTGCACAAGTTCCACCCGATTTTCGTCGTGGACTTGCTGCGGCGTCCTCTGATTTGTTCCATGTGCTTCAGATATCTGCACATTGTGTGCAGTAGCTGCTATTGTCTCACTATGCCTGACTCAGCTCGGCAGCAATCAGTGCGGGTTCATCAACGTCTTTGACGTCGGTGCTGCCTGGAGTTGTTTGCTGACAGCCGCGAGGTCTCGGATGCCCTTGCCACGTGAGCGGCAGAAGCTCGTTTCACTCATCTGTACCGCTTATGGAGCGCCTCAACCGTGAAGGACTCAGCACAGGCAGTTTCGGTTGTGGGAAACTCGGTCGTTCCTTCGTGGAAAGTACTGCAGCATGGCTTGTCAACGGTTCAAGACTTGATGGAGGGCATTGCCTGCCACGGCTCATGCACCATCGTTCCCTTTTTAATCTCATCCCAATTGTCGCCATGCCCAGTTCACGACGTCGAACCTTCTCCATGTGGTAACTTCTGAGCTCGTGCTCCAGCTCACGGATTTCCTGCAAAACTACTCCCCGCCTTTCGAACAGCATGCTCTTGCTTGGAACATGTTTGGAAACTTTCTCCAACTCCTGCGCTTCGCGAACTGCTTGATTCAGGTTCTTCTCCAGTGCAGCCATGCCATTCTCCAGCCCTTTACCATCCAGCAGTCGAAGCGGACTGACGCCAAAAGCGGTTCGAGCAATACTGAGCTCAAGCTTCTTCGGGTCCACTTGCTGTCGCATGTGAAGCTTCGAAGGTCCGATATCTCTTGCAAGCGCCATCTAGAATCTAGTGTCCAGGGTCGTTAAGGAAACGAAGCTCGGCCACGGAAGACTTTGGTGACGGCGGGGGCCTTCCCGGGTCACTCAGCGATCGCGCGTTGCCTGAGCTCTTGGCACGTGCAACTTGTGTTGGCTGCATTCTTTCGGAGGGAGTCGGCCAAATTTTTCTCGCTTGCTCAGAGGCCAGTCTATCGCGCACTGCGATCTGGATAACCGCATTCTCAGCGAGATGTCCTTACACATCTCTCAGATTTTTGGCCTCAGATTCTCCAGAGAGGAAATGGAGAGGAGGGCATCTGGCATAGGGGAGGGAGTTTGGACTTGGGAAGCGGCACGAAAGCGTTGGAGCTGGTGATCTTGTTCTCGACCTGACTTGCAAAGTGGAGGGAGGGGGCTTGGACAAAGGAACAAAGCAAAGCTCTGGGTGAGGCACTGCACGGAAATATTCATGATGCTCTCCAAACATCAATTTAAGTATGGCTCCAGACTCCTCTGGCTGTGGCAGAGAAATTCGGGGTCATGAATTTTGACGATGAAACAGCTCCATGAGCAGCTTGTGTCCTGATATATAGGCACTAGTCTGTTGCCCAACTTTTGTCGAACATCTTGGGGCGCATCAACCTCCACACAATTCGGTCAACAGGTGCAGATAGCAGAGACAAAGCAAGGATGCCTTCTTGGCTGAGGAGCCATGTCCAAGCATTTCGCGCAGTCGGTCTGCCTGGCAAAGAACGACGCAATGCACAGCGTGTGACGCACCAGTTTACGGTCCAGCATGGTCCAACCTGGTGTTCTAGAGTCCAGGCGAGTGTTCCGCTAGGGCCAGGGAAGTATGCCTGCAAGGTCCAAGAGGCTGCTGGGCTCCCTCAAATGTCCCGTAAGATAACTTTGGGACAGAGTGAGGCCTGATCTCTAATCTAAGTCCAGGACCTAGGAGTGGCTTTCAGATTCAAGTTGCTGACTTTCGCACATTGATACGGGTCGGAAGCACGCAGAAGGCGGGAAGTAAATACGACATGTGAGAAGTGCTTGCTCCTTCGCCCCAGGTCGCTTTTGTGTGCACGATATTACAACCCCGCTTTGCCAAGACAGATAAACGCCATGCGCCGCAACAGACGTTACCTGGCCCTGTCGTGGCTGCCATGTCAGCTGCCACCTTCAGGTGTCGGTCGGTCGGGCAAGACTCAATGGCCGGAGACTTGCCATGCTCCACATTGACATGCTGGTTGGCAAACCCAGATCCTAAAAGAAAATCTTAGCTGGCAAAGCCCAAACCACCCTGAAAGGAGATATGCGTTGGCAAACCCCAGAGCGGATGGCATGCGCGGGTGCTTGCTTGATCCGGTTCGCACCGCCCGAGCCAACTAGCGGCGCTGATTCCAGGACTTGAAGTGAGCTGTTTGCAGCATCGGTGCCCCTTTCCACGCATGGAAGGAGGCCTTGACCCAAACTTGGCCATTGCTTTCCAGATTACATCCTTCCCGTCCATAGGTCCCTCAGAGGCAACTTCGAGTTCAGCACAGCCGCTATTTCACTGGCGGGTCGTCCACGGGAACGGCGGCAAGGTCAGGGCTGAACCGCCAAACAACAAAGACAAGTGAAAGCTCAGCATTCAAGACGGGCCACAGGCCTTGCGCTGGTAATCAGTTCTCAGGTCGAGATATCTCAGCTCATCAGACCACTTACCAGCCTGCAAGCATTTGCAAGTGTAACGTTCACTTGCGACCTTTGGCCTGCAGTAAATCGCAGAAAGATCGTCGTAAGTGCCTGCTTGCTCCAGTTTTGCAAGTGCTCCCAAAGTCTGTCGCAAAGCCAGTGCTGTGGTCCAACGAGGCCACCCTTCAAGCATCAGCCACACTAGCATGTGCATACGCAAGCATCCTTCCGAATTTCCGGCCTCATGGTCGCCTATCATTGACAGCAGCCGCTGTACATCATTTTCCTTCAAGACCTGACTCACACGGAGCCGGCAACACCGGCATTACATAGCGTCACGTTTGCGCTCGTGTTTCCATCTCGCTAGAATGAAAGATAGTGAACTTCACATTCACGTGCGACCTTGTGGATGCTGCGCCGCTCCTCAACGGCTGCATCCAGCTTTTTTAACTCTGCCTGGCAGAGCAGCACCACTGCAAGCCCAAGCATCGCAACGCACGCCCTTCCGTGGCAGAGCAACCAATCGGACCAGTCATTCATCAAAGAGCAGTTCCATATGCCTCTAGAAGCTCTTCGGCTCGAAGCAGTCGCTTTGCATCCGCTACAGATACCTGACGAGAATGGTGCCAGAAGTTATGAAGATCGACCCATATTCGTGGGCCTGGGGCAGGGACCTTTGCTTTGCATTCTCTGCACGCTGTACCTTGAAGAGGTCCTTGAAGGCCCTTTCCCTCCTCAAACCTAGGCCAAGTGGCGGACTAGTGCTGGACAGAAAATGTCAAGCTGCTTTGAGAAGCGTACACCAGCTGATGGAAGACCTTGGCAACTTAGGTCCTAGATTCAGAACATGGACAGACGCACGCGCGGTCGGATCTGTGGAGCTGGCACCACAAGACCCGCATTTCGGGCATCGAAAGCCGCGGCAAGGGTCCCAACCCACCTTCCATGAAGCGCCAGTGGGATCTGCCATTTCGTATTCAATCTGCTGAGGCTTCAAGGTTTCAAGCTGTTCCTCGACCGTCTTCCTTCACACCCCGAAGAGCATGATGCTTTGTACCTCATCTGGCGGCACTGGCGCGCACCGCTCGCACGTGCAGTCAAACTGCTTCGTGCTCTTCAAGGACCTGAGCAGCGATGTTGCCCATGCCACACGGAAATGAGCTCTAAATCTGCAGCGAGACCAGGCCCACCATGCAAGTCCTCTCACCAGGCAAAGCTTAAGGGTATCGGGTTCAGTAAATCGATGCCCTCAGTGCCAGTAAATGAAATGAATGGGGACACGACATGCTGCGAACCCCCACAAACAACTACCACTTTGACTACTGTTGGATCCGAGAAGCTTTTTTCTTTCCTCAGCAGAGTGGAGGAGCACATCTTCCGGTAGGTACGAGATGCACACCTGGCCGGCTCTTTGAAGAAGCCTCAGGATATATGTTTGCGCTGCGAACCTCGTCCCCGAGAGCGATATCACGGCGCGCCTGGCAAATTCAAGGGGCATCACGGGGCCGAGGCGTACAAATCGAAACCAGGAAAAGTCACACAAGTCACGTAAGGGTGTTCTCAACACAGGTGCTCGGCTTGTTGACGACAGAGTTCTTAGTCGCGCTTCCATGCTGACTAACCTCGTCGTCTTTTCAAAGGACTGTGAACAGTGAACACTACCAAGCCTGCATGAGCATTCATAACCCTGTGGACAATCACAATTTTGCTAATGGGGGTAATTGCAGTAGTACGCCCAGCACTCCATACGTGTATCCAAGATATTGCTGATGTCTCCTGTACGACTTGTAAGACTACCACTATGACAGACGAAGAGCGACAAGATTTCTGATCCAGAAGCACGGCCATTACCAAGGTTTTTATCAGCCACACTGCCTGGCTGACACCTCTGTATTACGACTGTAACTTGTGGGTAAGCGGGTAAGCCAATACTGCCAGCATAACAGGTTTGGGTTATGCTCCGAGAAGCAGCCAGTATCAAACTAAGGACGTACTACGATCCCGCAATTTCTGATGGTGTGCTGTATGCTGCTCGCTGAATTCGACTCAGCTGAGGACTAGGACGGTTTCGGCTCTGATGGTTCGGAGAGTGTCGGTGTAGGTCGATGTGGGGGAGGACAGGATGACCTTAAACTTCAAACCCGCCCTCCACCCAAAGACCAGCCCCATCTGCCCGAAACAAAAACGGCGAAAAGACATCCGAAATCACAGGCCGCAGCCTGAACCTCGAAATAAGCATCTGCAGGCCACAAGGCTGTAGTGTGGCTGAGATTTTTGGTTGGCTAAATCGTCACAGGCTCAATCATGCATACCGATGTCGCAGCATGGCGGTTCAAAGCGAGAGTTTCACCCAAAGTAACAACAGTGCCTTATGCTTGCCGATTGGCAAGGCGGAGACAGATCAGACAGGAAAGCATAGGAAAGCCCTCAGGCTGAGCAACAGAGTGTCAATTTGCGCCAGTTGCACACGCAGGATATGAAGCCCGTCGTCCCCTTCACTCCAGATCCCATTCCTTAAAGCCACACGCCACTTCTTATCAGCGTGAGTGCCACAAGCTCAGGGGCTCTGCTGGCGAGTCTCGCTCCGCAGGAGTGGGACACGAAGGACGAAGCAAAATATGCAGAGTATCCCAGCGGGTCCTCTGAATGCTCGAAGCCTAAGTTAGCAAATGGGACCATTGGCAAACAGACTCAAGACATCCAAATCCAAGTAGCAGTTGAGGATCCAGGCCTCCCAGAAACTTTTCTGAGGGATAAACTGCGGACCCTTCCCTGACGCCTGCAGAAGCTCCTCGACGAGAACCGCCGGTGTGGAGAGGCCAAGTTGCTTCACCAATTTCTTCACCGCATCAGACGCCTTAGCGAGCCCATCACTAGTGGACTCACTTTCACTGGCACCCGTGCACCTCGTCAACGGGCTCGTGAAACAAGCAGAGCAAGCGCTTCTGCCTCAGACGGGCCCAAAACAAGCACTTATCCAGTGCACACTTTGACCGTGGTGCACAACTGCGGGCCGAAATAGCAATGCATGGAAGAACATGAAAGAACGCCGATTTGCACTGAAACGTACTTCCGGCAACCAGGTCTGGGTGAACCAGCGGGTCTCCGGGCAAGGTTACAACGTCTACAGAAGTGGGTTGACACGGTCGGAGACGAACCCAAGCTGCAGACAAGATGCTGCAGAGCCGTCACTGGCTTCAAAGACCCTATCTTGGGTTTAGGCGACAGCTGCTCCTGCGACAATGCTGCCTTCTTGATTTTCACTTGCTGCACCACCCGCTAGCACAAACTTCTGGCCTCGGTAAGGGAGCAGAGTGCTGTCCAGTACCACAGAGGCTCATAGTCGAAGATGGACGGTTCCTTGGGTACACAGACCCTGGTCTGTGTGCATACGCAAAGAACACTTGCTGGCAGCTGCTAATTAGCATGGCATAAGACAGCGGCTGCCTTGCATAATCGCTGTACGAGCTTGAAGGCCTCGCCGTCTATGCACGTCTGTGTCCAGCATGAAAAAAAGCATCCTTGCCTCGTTTCCCGCGTCTTCAGCCACGATATGCAATGGCGGCTCCTTGCTGGTATGCACTGTGGAGGTCGTGCAAGTCTGCACTTGGCCTTTGGCCTCGAAGAGAAGTTCGCCCTGAGCGACTGGAACTTTCGAAATCATAATCCTGCCAAGCACAGTGATGGGCTTGGCATGGCTTGGCGGCAACACCGCAGTACAATCTGCTGTGCTGTGAATGCACCTGTCCTGCCCTTGCCTTCCGCAAGCACGCATTCGAACTTGCCATTGAAGTGCTGCTGGCAGTACTCGTTGATGGTGTCCTTCACGATTGCCAGCCCAATCGCATGCAGTATGCTCAGCGTGTCTGACACTGTAGTTAGGCGTGCAGGTTCCGGGAGTCTCCCGGTTGCTCGAGTCACTTCTGAAGCACCGTTGCGTCTTGATGCGGTCACTGCGCTGGCTGAGCGGCTAGCATAATCGAAGTATCATCTGTGCTGCCGTGTCTCTATGTCCCAGTCTTCCATCTCGTGGCTCGGGCGCACCCGCCCTTGGGAAAGTTCTCCCGACATTCTCGCAGGCACTTGACGGCACCCGATATCAGACAAGTCGCCAGCTTCTGGAAGTGATGTGACGAGACATCCGGCAAAGGGCTTGAGCCAAGCTGCAATACAAGCTGAGTAAGCTTGCTTGATTTCGGAAACTTCGCACACCAGATTCCCGAGTTACAGTAGCAATCATTGTCGCTTTACTTCTGCGGCCGTGCCACAACTTCTGCTTCTGGTCAGCACCGCTTTCCGCGAAGGCTTGGGAAAGCTGGGAGGCTCACGAGATCAACCGCAGTTTTGACACTTGCGGAAGGTCCATGGGCTTCTACCGGAGAAGGCCACTGCTAAGACAGACAAGCAGGTCTGAAAAAGGTGTCATGTTATCGCACTAGCATACCTGCTGTAAACTCCGGACAGCCGTCGCGATCAAGTGGTGAATGGTGGTCGCATGTTGTTTTGAAGGGACCTTGAACAAAAGGTTGGCAGCAAACGGGCTTGTTGACAGCCTTTCAGGCCGTAGCTTGTGAATAAGGTGGATCCAGACTCAACCGCTTAAGATCGCGCCGTGGCAGGGTGCCTGGCCTCACGAACCATCTGCAACTGAGCTGCATTCCACAGATCCTTCAAGGCATTCAACTCTGTGCCCTTTCTGTCAACGTGGAAAAACCCTCTCCAACTTGCTGAAGTGCTTCGACCAAGGTGCGTCATGAGTCTTCGCATTCTCTAGCTCCTGCATGCGAGGGACAGAACAGTTTCAAGCCCGTCGGCGAGACGTCCCTTACCTCCTTGCAATACAAGTGCTCTCGCTTGTCTTTGGAGTGGTCCTCTCAAGTCATTACATCGTTACGTCCCCAGGCCTGCCACAATTGGTCCCATCCTTGAGAGTTTGCTGAGCCCAGCCCGCCGCTCCTTCCAAGCTGTCATAATTGACCTGACAAGACGCCAAGTGCTCGCGCACTGCTCGCGCCAAAAATGCCAAGACGCATTGTAGAAGCAGAAATTGTCTGACCTGAAACATTCTTGTGTTGGGCAAGCCGCAGGTAGCAAAGCGGCCCAAAAGAGGACTGAGCCGCAAGCAGCTCCCGCCTCACAACACTCTCCTCAATGAAAGCTTCACCTTCTGCGCAGATCGCAAGAGGATGCAGTCAGGTGGTGTTTTCTCTCAATGGTTTGTCAGGCCGAGCCATTTCCAGCCCCCCCACACTAGAGGATGCTACATTGTCACCGCGCTGAGACGATTCAGTCGATGCTCTGTTCACTTGCAATGATTCCAACGCAGGACCCTGTCCCAAATTAAGTTCAGAGAATCTTCTCAGGATGCGGCAACTCTTCTTTTCGCTTGATGTGGCTGTCTTGATCTCCCCGATCAGACGCACGCGCAAAGCCTCCGCAGTGTGTCAGCAATCAGGAATGAGTACTGTACCAACCGGCGTCTTCCAACGATTCCTCGGTACCTTCATTCACTCTGCCAACAACATTCAGCCGCCATCGGTGCTTTCACATTCTTAAGATCGCTGCGCATCTTTGTGCAGAGATCTGCCCTGAGCTGCGGATGCATGGCATTCGTCGGCAAGTGTGCATATTGCGAGAGAGAACGATGTCACAGCATGTGCACTATCTTTTGTCTTGTGTCCGCGGATAGGGGCCCTCGAAGCTCATGCGGAACAGCTTCTGGAGATGGCGGGCCCCGCTTCCTGAACCTGCTGAAGCCCAGTGGTCCGACGAGGCTTTGCCGACAAGTCACGAGAAGTCCGGTGAGACATGGGCTCTTCCGTGCAGAATTTCTGTGTGGGCACTCCGGCCCAGCCCCAAAAAGTTGAACTGGTGAGATGCGGGGCCGGCAAATGGCATGACCTTAGCCCTGACTGCCTTCGTTGCGTCGCAAACTATCTGCCCAGTGCCTTCCCCATGATCACCCATCCACTACACCCCAACCATCCCAAGTTCTCAAAT